ATCCGCATCCACATTCAAGTAACTCACTATGTAGTCCAACATATGTCAGGGGATACTTTGCCACATTGAAAATTCAAATATATTTGTCGGTCTAAACTCTGCAATAAATATCATAATAATTTGACGTCACAATTCATATAATCATATAAATACTTTAATTAACGCTCAGCCATATTTAAAAAAAATGTATGACCTTTATCCCCTTGTGACTGTTGAGAAGACGAACTTGTCTGTCCACGCGAAGAAGTGGTCGTACGGCTCGATTTCCGACCTCGCGATCTATCGTTGTACTCAAAAGCAGATGGTTTACACTTAGTTGAATTAGTTTTCTTCGGACGACCTCGCGGGTCATCCTTAACCTCAGGTTCCGCATAATCCTGTTGGTCTGGGTAAAGATGACTGTACATGAACTGATTCACGTACCGCATCGTCGCGGGATCGCGGGTTTCAACCTCACTCACAAGCGTCTGAAAGAACTCCGCATCTGACCATGCAGCGTGGCTCGCCTAGCTCTGATGACCAGTCCCTACAAGTATACGATAAGAAAGTCAATGAATTAAACCAAATAATGTATTTTAATAGAAAATTATAAATAAAACATTAACCTTACTTTACCTGGCTCTAATATCTAGAGCGTTCTCCAGAACTGGTGAATCATTCCGAGATCAATCGGAATGTTGAAATCAACTGCGTTACGGAGCAGACAGGCACAAGGAAGTCCATGAGTGAGCTGCAATACACAGCCGCAGCTAGTGTAAACATCGGTGCCCAAGCCGTGCATCCTCGTAAGCTCAGCGTCCAATAAACTCAGAGAGTAATGCGAGACCCTCCGTATCACGCTCATGAAAAGGATTCCCTTATACCGTGTATTCTTCTTAGATCTCGAGGCCTCAAGCGCCGTCCTGATAATACGTTACATAACGTTAGATTGTAATTAATTAATGCAGTAATATAATACGCATTTAAAAATTGCAGTACGTACTTGATTTCAGTCACTTGATTATCGATGTGCTTATTAATCTTCTGCCAAATTGTATCGAGCGCGCCGGTGGACGTCTGAAGCCACTCCTTCAATACAGAGTGGGCACTCTCCACCCTACAGGAAGTTGTGTTTCCAAAATGTGTCACTCGGTTGGTCCAAGCCTTCACAAACTTCTCGCGGTGCCCTAACCATGTGCCCTCCACATACCGTATCACCTCTGGGGACTTCGAATATTTTGCGTACAGCTCGGCAACGGCATCGGTGTAGGCATCGAACGTACTGGCCTCTGCAATCGCCTTCCACGTACTGTGCGTGAAAATCTCTGAGAATTTCTTACTCTTCCCAAATAGTTTGTAGGTTCTGGCTTCCACATCCTTGTTGATGTGCCACGTGCAGAGTAAGTGGGCTGATTCAGGAAAATGCCTCTGAATAGGAGTGAGTAAACTTAACTCTCTGTCACTGACAACAACATAAGGATATACGTCTTGGCCTATCAGCAGTCTCAACTTCTCTAGAACCCAGTCGTAACTGGCCACTTTCTCGTCCCTGATGAGCGCATACGCAATTAGGAAGTTCTGGTTGCACGGTGTCATCCCAATCATCTCGACCAACGGCATCTTGTACCTGTGCAAATGAGACCAAGAAGACAAAAAATATAATCAAATAAAAGTTTACTAAATCAAACACACTATTTAAGATTCATACTAATAAAGTATTTATAAAGTAACATACCTGTTGGTTTTATACGTGGAATCTATACCGACATACCAGTGATATGTCCGGAATAGATTGATCGACGTAGGATGGGCCATGAATATATGCGTCAACGCTTTCGTGTTCGGATCGGATTCTGCATAAACTGTATACTCGCTGCTCACGGCCAAATGCATAAGCTGGGAAGGAATGTCTCTACCGTCGAAACTCTCTTTCCGCAGCTTATCTCTAAAGTTATATACCTGTCACCGATTAACGTTAATTATAATGATTATTATAATTTAAAACAAAAGAGAATATTATATTAATAAATAAATAAGTATATTAATGTGATTAATTTGATAAAAAGAATTATTAACTATTACAATAATAATACATTAGTAAATATAATAAAATTTATTAATTATTACAACAACTTTTACATATAAACAATTAATAATTATAATAATTAACTTCAAAAAGTTAATTAAAACATATATTACAAGATATAAATATATATACCTGTCGCACATGAACGTTGTCTCCTGGATTCTTTTCCTTCAGCGCGGCCATAATTTTTGTCGGGGCCACCTGAGCGTCCGTCATATCACGAACAATTTTCTTAGATGAAGCGCTGAGGCCGCTCAACTGGCGATGACCCTCAGGATACACAGCAAATGTATGGTTATGGTAGCCTTTCTCTTCATTGCTACATCTACAGATCCTCCAGTATGGAGCGCCGGACACCTTTTTTACTTTGATCTCAAAATTGCAGCCGCACTTATTCGTTTTTGTCTTTCTATAATTTCCGCATGTGCCTCTGTACCGTTCGCCTCTATGGCACTTCAAAAGTCTGACCGTTTTCTTTTTGTGGCTCGAAATTATTAATAGGAAACCATTCAGCATTGCCTGGTGTTTTGCAGCTTCAATAGCGTCCTGAGCACTATTATATAATGTACAGGTATCGAAACGCAGACTGTAATCAACACCATCTCCTCCAAAATCTTCCCATGACTCCTGCTATATAGTACAACATTTATATTTTTAGAACATGTTAAATTAAGATAATTAATTTTAGCATGTAACATAATAATTTGTAACTCATAACATGATATTATCTAACGTCCAATTTATAGCATAATGAAGTCTAACATGTAACACAATAATTTGTAACTCCTAACACGATCACGATAATATCTAACGTCCAATTTATAATATAATCAACTATAACATGTAACATAATAATTTGTTACTCCTAACACGATACTATGTAACGTCCATCAATTTATAACATAACCAAGAATAACATGTAATATAATAATTTCTAACTCGTAACACGATAATATCTAACGTCCAATTTATATTATAATCAACATGTAACATAATAATTTGTAACTCCTAACACGATAAACGTCCAATTTATAGCATAATCAAGTCTAAAATGTAATATAATAATTTATAACATAATAATATAGTCTAATTTATAACATAATTATTTCAAATATATCATAATAATTTTAAAAAAAAAAAATTGTCCGGCCGGCCGAACCGGACGGACCGGTTCCGACCGGCCTGACTTTTCGGACGGCTTTTAGCCCGTCCGGACCGGCCGACCGGACGGCTTAAAAACCGTCCGGTTCCGCCGGCCGGACGGGCTAAAAGCCGTCCGGTTCCGGCGGTCGAACACAAAATTTTTCGTACTTCCGAATTTGACGACATTTCACCGTGCACTTTCCTCTGAGATGTTTAGAAAAAATGAAAAGAGCAAAATCGTCCAAGAGAGGCGGTGCCTAGTAAAATAAGGGGCGATGAATAGTATAACCTAAATTATTGACCTTGAATGAGATCAGATCGGCACAACAAAAGAGGCAATAAGAGTAATATATTTGGGGAATTTTTATTGTAATTTTGATGCCCACTTATGGGTCTCAATTGTCGAATTTATACGTAGAAAAAAAAAATATAAAATTTCATCTTCACTACTAACCAGCGGAAGGGTGTAGAAAAGTAACACGTGTTCTCATGCAAAAATATGTTTTTCTATAATAGGATCAACTGGCGGTCGCTTTTAACAGTTTTTTTTGTATGTTCCTGTTTACAATGTAGTGAGGACGGCAATTTTCATACGGGAAAGATTAGAGACAGGTCAGCATCTGGGTTAAAAAGTGGATCTGTACAACGGTAGTATGGCTTCTTGGGCTCACATTTTTAGGCCCATGTAGAGGCTTTACTCTCCATTGTGTTTGATACACTTCCAAACTTAGTGGGCCCACTCAAAACGTAAGTAATTTTTATGTACAATATAACTTCTTCACTAAATCATTTAAATAAAATGATTTTTTATTTGAGACGATCTAATCATTAAACGTTCATATTATTCAACTGAGGCCTCCACCTTTACAAGAGATTTCAAGACCCTGCATAACAATAACGTTATTGTTGAAATAATGCAAAACAACACAAAATTATTAACTAAGTTTTGAGATTTCCCAACAATATTTGTCAAATTACTCAATTGAGAACTAATGACTAAAAAAGGTGATAGTTAGGGAGTCAAAACCAGTAAAATCGATCAAAATTTGGATCTTGAGTTAAAATTAATTATTTTGAATGAAGTTGATTGAGTGAGATGGAAAATTGCAACTAAATAATATTTAAAATTTAATGATTAAAATTGATGTAATGTAAAAATAGGAGAGAGATGATGGAAGTGATAAGTAGTTAAAAATATGTGAATGAATAAATAGTGAATTAAAATTTAATATGACGTAGAAGAGAGGTGATTGATATTATCTAATTATGTTGATAATATTGAGGATGGTGATTTGAATTAAAGTGAGCGAGTCAAAATTCTGATCAAACCAGTTTTGATAGTCTAACAAATTAAAGTGAGCGAGTCAAAATACATGGAGAGAGGGATTTCAAGTTACCAATTTTCAAAGCACCACAAAGTATATTCCAAGCCTAATCCATGAGATCCACCAATTTAATTACCAGTAATTATGTTTTGGTGATTAATTAAATAAAAAATAAATAAAAAGCAGATGGGCCACACAGCAAAATACAAATTCTCCACCAAATGTGTATAAACTAAAAGGGAAAAATAGATGAAATGCCCATGAAAAGAAATATGATACACGGCTCACCCGTCCTACCTCCTCCACTTCATCTCTATAAAACTTTAGATTGAAAATGACACAAATTTCCCAATTTATATATATATATAAAAGATATAGAAAAAAATTAAAATAATAGTAAAAATAAAAAAGACAATAAGTGCCAAGTTTACATGTAATTGGACGGCAAAGGTACAATTGGATATAAAAGGGGGACCAATTACATTCCAAAGTGCCCCAAACCCTTCATTGCTTTCTACACATGCCTTTTATCTTTTTGCAATTTTGGATTAATTCCAAAATATAATATCACAGCTTATATAAAAGTTCTCTGTGCCTTGCTCAACATATTTTCTCAATCAGATTAAAAAAAAAAATAGAGAAAAAAAGAAAAATATTTGGAATGGAAAATAGCTTAGAGCAAGCCACAAAAACATCAAGATTTAAGAGAATATGTGTGTTCTGTGGCAGCAGCCCTGGGAAGAACCCAAGTTACCAGCTTGCGGCAGTACAACTTGGAAAGCAGCTGGTACTCCTCTAATCACTTGATTATGGTTTTCTTTTTCATTTTTTTTAACTCCTACCATGAACAAATATAGTGTTTTCATATGTTTTCATCTTACTATTAATTTAATTGCCTAATTGGGATATAAATGAAGAGACAAGGGAGCCCTGTAATTCTGATTCTTGTTCTTGATTTTATTTTTTGCTCATAAATGAAGTCGTTTTTAGCTTTTTATGGATGGCTTATTATCAATCTCAGTTTCTTACATGCAAATATGGTACAAATTATCAGTACATATCAATTGCTTTCAAATGCTTC